TCAAGTTAAAGTAAGTTTTATGCACCCGAATGGCAAATTCTTCGCAATTTTCACCTGAATACAGTAAAAACAGAAAGAAGAAAAGCGAAGGGGACTTGGAGGAAAAAAAATTAATAAATTAATCAGAGCAATAAGAAGATAATAATATTAACCCTAGTAGTTAAAAAAACACTATTTCAAGAGATGGTTCACCAGACCTGCAAAACGTTTTGTAAGTTCCACTAGAAAACGGGCAGGACAATGGAGGATATTGATTCTCCACATGGCTAGCGCAAGAGAGGTTGTGTGTTAGAACGGCACCGACGTAGGTAACAGAGTCGGCTTCGAGAATTCCGTGACCATTAACAACGGGTTGAGGTAAATCACTGAAATAGTGTGATAACGGATGCCGATGGAATAGCTGAAGAGAACCTCAACACATTTCGAAATAATACGCATAAGTGATCGTTAGCAGGGATCAACTGAAGACGTTATGTCGACTATCTGGAAGTTGGCGGAAAGGTATGTCGTTATAGGGGGTGCACCCAAACACCACACACAGCACACTTCAAGCAATAGATGTGGCAGCAACAAGTAGGTTGTTTATGAACTAGAGAAAAGATAATGGAGACGAAATGAAGCCATAAAAGACACCAGAGTTTATGTTAGAATATGAAGAAGTTTTACCACTGGATGAAGTGAATTTCGTCCTGAAAGCAAAGTGGTTTAGAATAACGTATGACAAATCAGATCCCAAACCACGGTCAAACTGAATTTGAATGAGAATGCGACGGTCATACGAACCAATGGCAGTGGAATAACCAAGGAAAATAAGATAAACAGATCCGACATTCTTATCCGACTCGGAAGCCACTGAACGAATAATATAAGTTGATTTTCGTTGATTGTTGAAAGCGAAGGTCCTTCAGTAATCGGGACTAATTCTGGAGGACAAAAATTGAACAACTCAACAATGTTGCTTCAAAACACTGGGAACCTCAGTCGGAAAAACAAGACTGATGTTTTGAGGGGAATGGAAGGAGGACTATGGTGAATTAGAAACAAATATACAGAAAACTGTCGGTTTAGTTCTTTCACACCAGTACAGCAGCTCTCATATGTGCCACAGAGTTGTTCAAACACTAGCCACATTTCGCGACAGTTATTTTTGCCATAGAACTGAAGAAACAGGGACGACATATCATTGATTTTAATTTTTTTATTTCGAAATATCAATGAATAATGACTATCGTTTAGAAAAACCTTGGTCCAATTTTTGGGCTTCCAAATACTTTGACAGAGGGCTTAATTCAGCCTCTCCCAATCTGGAGGACTTCTTTTTTGAAACGAACTCGGCTATCATCGTTTTTCGAGACGAAGTGGATCGGCAAAACATATCCGTTTATGGAAATCGCGGAGTACTTTTCAGATATGGTCTCAGCTGTGTTTGTGAAACTGTCAGTGGTCTACTTACCGTCGTCTATTGGACATTAGGCAGAAGATGCATTTATCAAAAAAGAGTGGAGGTAGCCAATCAAGAAGCTCGCACAGTTGGGAACGTTAGTCACACAACTTCAACGAAGTCAGGCAGATCAGTGCAGGTTGTGATACGAACAAAACGCCGATAGATTAGTTCAAGTAACCACAAATACACATATTTCAATACCACTCCATGTCGTTCCCGGGTAGGTAAATTGTTTTATGCATTGCAGGTAATGCAGGCGTTTACAGACTGATATGATGGAAATTCTGCTCTCATTGCTTCGAACGGAATAGGTAATGAAAATCGAACAAAGTGAACACGGTTGTTACTGAGAAAATCGTCCTTTAATTCCCGGTTTTACCTTGCAAATCGATCATTATTAGACGTAAGCTTAGATCGGAGGGAACCACGAAGGTTAAGTCAGTGTTTGACGAAAGACTTGTTTCTTTACTGGCCTACTTGTCGTTTGCATCACATTGTCCATTAAATTAATGATATATTTGTTGATTGCATGATCGTGTACTGCACGCACAACTTATCCGCACTCTGAAGCAACCCAGTGCATCCCGTTGGATTGTGACATAACAAACAGACTGGAAAAGATCCTACAGAACAAAGGCAGCAACGTTGACTAATAGTGCCTACAGAATGCTTTCATTTTCATCAGAGTTTCTTTGTCATGTGCTCCCCTGACCCCCCAGCCTTAGTAGACAATCCGTTATGGTCTGGATAGACTGGTTGCAGATCAAACGGGGTGCCCGTTGAATTTTGAGCAATACTGCCCACTGGATAAAGACCGAACACATGAACCAACCCATCAACCAACATCATCCAAACATTCACAATCTAAGGATGAACCAATTTTCCAAAGCCCGATCTGGTTTCACGCATTAAAGAACGCGTAAAGTTGATTGCTTAAGTGCTTATACGAATTTATAAAGTGGAACAAAAGCGGGAGCACAGGGACAAGTTGCATTAGATTTGGTAAGTACCGGAGTGCACGATGACAGTGAATGTATAGCGTGCAAATCAGTCAACGTTTGTTTCCCCTATGCACTTTAACCTGATGAACCCGTATTGCGCTTTCCGTGTGCATTTTAATTTTGTCAGCGCTTCGACAAATCAGTATTCCGGATGTCATCGTCGTTTGTCTAATCGATCCGCGCTGTTTTGACCTCAGCCTTGTTCAATTGACAGTTCACGTAAATCGATGAACGGGCTCAGTATGCAGAAGATTCAGATGTTACCATATGTCCTAATGACTCGGTCCAGAGACCGGGCACAGATGGNATGTAAACAATACAAATAGATACGAGAGGGCTGGGTATGCTACTGTGTGTGTGCGCGGAGGGTGGGGGGGGGAGGACGGAGAGGACTGAAGTAGTGATTCTAGATTTCACCCCATCCCTATTATAATCACCGGATTAAACGTGAGTGACCAAGTTCGAAACATGTTTGTCATGTATGGTGAACAGGTTTATTGATCGTACATTAAGAAACAGTTTTCTGGCGAGTTCCACTTACAACTCCAAATATGTACAACTCTCCACGACTCATGTTTTTATAAAACAATGTCAGACTGTATCATTTCTTTTTTTCAATATGCATTGTTTGATTCCACTGCTTTTACCTCAACTATGTCCAAGCGAATTGCGAAAGTGGAACAAGCGGATTGACCACTAGGCGAAGCATTTGATTATCCTCCCGGGAATAGGAAACAATTGGAACGAAAGTTTGCGCGAGCAACGCAATCACTGTTCCCATGGTGACAAATGAGAGTCCAATCAACATAGGACTGCTGGTATTATCACCCCACAGACAGTACAAAATCTGTCATTTGTTTCACAATAACCATTAACTAAATATTGTACAATGTGGGCAGAATTTGTGGCGCGGTTGGAGGACAAAAAACAGACATCAAACTAGCTGTGCTAGAGGACAGAACACCGCTTATCGTGTGTTTCGTGTGCAGATATGTGCAAGTGTAGAATATGAGTACGCATGTGTAAGCGGAACCATGGGAGTATACTGCACTATGCAGTTGTGTCTAATATCCTTCCTCTCCAGTGAACATGGTGATCGTTACTCGTTACCACTTTTTTGTGACCGCAAGCATGAGAGCACACATTCACTGTTTGAAGTGTGCACTACTCGGAGGGGGGGGCTGTGATTGATTGAGTAATTAACTGTATACACAAGTTTGAGCAGGAACAGTCTAGTGTGAGCAACGGTAAATGAATACTCGAGCACCCAGTCCATTTGTGACAGGCAATAGACTCTATTATACAAGAGGCATCAGCTTCTTGAGTTGATTACAGATGAATGTGGAAAAATGATGCATTATGAGCCAGGTCAACAGACAAATCTTTTGTGGCAGCAGTATCAGTAACGCAGATGTTGTACACTAAGTGCTACCAAGATAGTAAGTGTTTTGATGGATAACAGTCTATTCAGTGTTATTCTTCCTAACAGGAGGTTGACACATACTTCCCTAGCAGTGCAGTGAATTGCACAATGTACACAGCAAGTCCATTCATTTAACAGTGCGCAGCTGTATCCCATTCAGCATGTGTATCTCGCTCTGTTCTGTCCATAGTCATCAGTAAGCATGCATAAGACCTCACTCAGATACATTGTGGCTTTCTCTACGTCTTTTTTACAGGTGTTACAGGCGCTTTCTCCGAGTATGAACGAATGGACGCCAGGGTAACTGAACAGAATTATTTATCCTGTCCATACACAACGCAGATGTGCTTGATTGTTTAGCTTACGCTCTTCAGAGTGAGCTCTAACATCAAAGTACACAATGCTACTTTGCAATTCCCTATATTTCATATGAGTAATGGAGGATTTGATTCAATTTCAAAGTGAAAATTCGTCGTGTATATGGCAACCGAAGCACTAGCCTCCGAAGTGAGAGGAAACACCGAAAGGAGATTGATCCGTTATGCACATTTGGATCAAGCGCGTGTAACCCATTTTTATGAATATGGGCCGTATACGTGATAGTGCGTCATCTCAGTTGGATGATTAATCAAGCTGACGCATGCGCGCACGCACACACGCACACACAGAGAAAATAACAGGCATTGTTTAGGTGCCATTGATTGAGCTGAATCGGGTTGAGTTGAAGTGAGTTGAGTCGAGTTGGTGAGTTCTGTGTGTAAACAAGCTAGTCACGATACACAATCGCACACAACGTAACATCAAGTGAAAGTTGTCTTAACGGTAATCAATCATTCAATGGTCGTATCATAATGATAACAGTATTAGGCAATACACACCCATTAGAACAGTAATCAGATGGGGAGAGGTTCGGAAAGCAAAGAGAAAAATCTATCTCAGTGCATAAACAAGCAAACAAATCGTTTTACGGAGCACACGCATCTAGCCATATAAAGTAGTTCATCAGTAATTTATCAATGCCGGAAAATTTGAGTGGGTGAACGGTCTCTCTCTGTTTATTCTTTCTCTGTTTTTGTAAACAATGTTTGAAGATTGACGAATCACACTCCAATTTTGCCATTTAGCTCGCTTTTCAATTTTCTTGTTCCACCTCCAGCACTTGGACGGGATTTGGCGAGATGGAGTGAGCTGAAGTACGACGCGACTCCGACCTAGTGGCATTTGTTGAACCACCAGATACGTGCAACTTTGGAGCACCGGGTAGTCTCTCCATTTCCGTCGAGCTTTTTGATCGCTTTGTGTTCATGCTTTCTGTGGACGGTTCATGTGTGATAAGCGGTCTGTTACTGAAGGAGGACATGCTCCGAGTTTGACGAGTGTGCGGCTCAGGTTGTACTTTGAGTGTATCAGTATCGTGGCTAGCTCCCATGAATCCTTGTTCCGGTGCGTCATCCAGTGGCAAATGCGCGGCTGAGGTGGCCGCATGTTGCCGCCGCGGAGACAGTGAGAACACGTAAGCCCGACGATTGGGTGAAGTGGACTTCACCATTGACATTTCTCCCCGTCGACGGTCTAACTCGCTCATCAGAAGACGACCTTCAGCTTCGGCTTGAGTTCGTAGCTGTGGGAATGGGTTTGTGTGAAATAAACAGTTAGTTTAGGAGTGGGGTTTACGAACAACTGCTTAAGTGTTTTACAGAGGCAACTACCAGAATACATAGATTTTATTGGTTGGACGTGGTGTCATTGTGCGATTACAAAAGAAACAAAGGTTTTGGGGTCAGTTTTATGTCATCTAACAATTAGTTGTATTGATCAACTTTACCATTCGATAAAAAGTGGGCTAAGAAATTGTCAAGTGAATCAAAATTAGGTTCACATTCTGCTGAATCTTTGACAACACACCAACAATAATCGATCGAACTAGTCACAGTTACAGAAAATGTGAAGGCCTTCAGCGTCACGGTCGCGTGAGGAAGCACTTAAGTGAACGACAAACTGTATGTGCCTTTTTCAATGCGCTCAGCACTGAAAAATGTCGTAATACGGGAATAGCTCAGATTAACAACCGATGTAATCGATCTTAAACCTTATGTGCTTATTCAATGCATCAGTCATCTATCGATAAGTCTAAATTTTGGATTGCACAACGCTTTTTTTACTGAGTTTGTCTTTCAAAATGTTCCGTGCCACACCATCAGAATCCAATCAATCACGAAGCAACCTTCATCCACCAATATACAGTTCATTCCAGTATTTTCTTTATTCCAACCTGGGTTGAGGCTTGCAGCAGTATATCCATCTTTGAAGATGTATTCGTTTTGCAGAATCGGTAGGTCACTAACTCATCACCGTTGCACAAACTCAGAAGTCATTGGGATTCGAATCCTTGCGTGACTAGCAATTAGTTCAATGCCCTGCCTATTGGGCTAGCAACCTACTGCGTGGAAGCTCAGTATGATATAGCGCTGATCACTCACTGTCGAAACTCATCAGACCGTAATCCTTTTAATCTATATTCTGTCGACAAATAAGTTCTCCTTTAAATTTACTATACCCATTCAAGTAATCTATCGACACTTTCAAAAGTTCTATCGGATTTTGTCGGTTGTTGACTTCGTCTGAACTACAATATGGACAAACATCAAATCATGTTTGACCGGTCGTCACTGGGGTTATGATAACCCATTCTCGACTTTTTGCTCGTGACCTTGAGACGAGAAACAGACGGTAGTTCATGCACATCATGGCTGAATGTGACATGGTGACACGTATGATCCGTTAACATTATGAAACATCACGTTTGTGTTGTGGAATTTTTTCGAACAATTTCACGGGAATGAAGTTAAAAGGTAATATCTTAAATTAAATTCATGTATATAAAAATAATAAGAACCGATGACCTGATTAATACATAGTGCATTTCTACTAGAGTTTTAGCGGGCACATGCCAACATGACCACCGGTTGTCATGTTGATGCGATGCGCAGATGTTCTTGCTTGAGTTGAACTTGCTGAATGAAGTGACACCTTTGTGTTGATCCTAGCCTACGAGATGATGCATACCACGGGACGTTACAGTTTTCAGACAACCGTGATGAATCAAGTTTCGCCAACAAAGCGCCTACGCCTTACAGCTTCTGGACTACAAAACATAGGCCGATTGTACCAGCCAATCAGAAGCCGTGCGGTCTAGACAGAAGCTGTACAACGCCAGAAATACTAGCATGCGATTGGAATAGGTTTGGATGACCAATGGAATTGTTTTGTACATATTATTTAAACCATCTGATTTCTTTCAATAAACGAACTGCTATTCCTGTGACCTTTACCTCGTGTATCGGTTACGGGGGATACTGCGTGCAAGTACCAGTATGATTCATTGCTTACGCAGTGTCCGTGATCTCCGGTACGTGATTCATATTTCGTGATCAGCGCGTACTTCAATTATTACAGCCTTGTAATCGGGTATCTGTGGTCAATCATTTACAAGTTACTCAATCCCGAACACACTACGCCCAACCGTGCTCTGTGCAATTCTCACTTTTATTGCTTTGGTTAAGTTGAGCATGATTTCAGCCAAACGGTATTCTTCCGTAGTGACCTCGCGACGTTTCTCCATTGTCCGTGCAATTTCTTCTTCCTGAAAAGGAAAAGAACAATCACGAAAACGAGGCGATCTTCATTTCAGCATGACCTATTTTCATCGATCTTATTTAGAAATGCTAAAGAATATAAAGTAATTTGTATAGGTTGGTGATCGGAATGGGAAACATCAATTCTGCCATGAACCACAAATTAATGGACGGTGCAACTAACGTAAAGTAATCGATAGGGTCAATATTCTGGCACGTCATTCTGTGACTTTTGTTGTACAGCTGAATTGCGTTTCTATAAAACATAGGACCATTTAAATAAAGGTGGAGGCGGTCTATGATGAACAGCCCAGGCAGAATTTAGAAACGCTTCTGCGTATCACATGCACCTGCTGTTAACTGAACTGTGAAAAGGAACCCCATCATCAGTTCTTGGTGTGCTTTGGTCGGTTTTTCTTCTTTTGCAAAGTTGAACCAAACTCAATGGAGACTTAAATCAAGGAACTAACTTCCTGTCCGTGAGTTTGAAAAAATGAGAATTCTACAAGAGATTTACACACGAATCTTTCCTTGACTTTGCAGCGAAAGTACCCCCACACCAATCAGGTAAATCTTTCTTTGTATCAATGTAACCCAACAAACTGAATCAAAAGCAAAATTGCACACCAATAATGTTAGTGAATGATAAGTTTGATGAAAGGATGGTTTTTTAATCCACATACACAATCGGTTTCTACTTATCCACTCATTAAAACCTCACGAGGGTAGACTTAGTACCATTATTACGTTTAAAATGTGGATCAAGATCAACACCAATTTCAAATCAGCACGGATTATCTGTGGTAAGTTGACATTCCTATAAGCATACATTCCCTCTCATTCGCCATTTGTTGCGGGATTCGTTTCATTATTCACACTCGAATTTTGTAAGCTCTCAAATCAGGTGACTCAAAAGCGGTTCGTATTGAAGTAAACACACAAAAGCCCCCCTCCCGCCCTTGCCCGCCCCTCAATAGTTAGCTCACTTCAACTGATCCCGTATTGCTGTGTCTCAGCGAGGTAACAGCTCGTCGCATCAGAGCGTCCAACAGGGCACGATGATCGGTCATTCGCTCTTCCATCATGGGTGCCTGCTTTTTGGCTGTGTAATATCGATGTTTCCATTCGTCACGTACTGCAACGGAAATAAACGAAAGACAAATGAAAGTAGATCAATAGTTGCATCATAGTTTAGGTGGGTCGCTAATGTTGCTCATGGATTAAAATTTCAATGAAATTTAAACTCACACATGCACTAAGCTCACATGTTGACACAGTTTTAAATTCACCCATGAAATCACGCCATTAGTCCTGGCTTCGAAAATTCTCGTTGGACATTGAATCCGTCAATCGATTTTTGAGTTAGTTATTTCCGGACAGTATTGAGATAAACAACTTTCCTGTGAGTATTTGAGTAGAGGAAACTCAGATAGCATTCAAACCCATCCACTGTTTGGCTAAGACTGTACACGATAGCATATGCATTGGTTGTTGTAGACACCACTAAGAAAGGTCATTACAAGAGAAAAACATGAAATTTTCCAAGGAAGTTTCCATTGCAATATCTTCTTGTCTAAGAGGAGAGAAGAACGTAGCTTGCTTACTCTCGTTTAAATGATTTATTCGTTGCAACGACTATATGTGTCTTGTCTACGGATATTTATCTGAGACTTCGTCTATAGTGGTGGAAGCAACCGTCCTCCAACGAGAAACCCTGTGTGGTTCACCTGTTCTCTCGCGGGTAGAGAGAGATTCATGCTACCCTCACTGTGTGCAAGATCCTTGTGCTGACGAAGATCAACGCTGTATCCAGCTCTGCAATACATTTCGTCTCAGGCGGAAGCTGTGCACGCACTGGTAACTCGTGCAAGCGCAACAACGGTTTAAAACCTGAGGAGGCAGTTGACATAGAATTTAGGAATTTATCCGGAAGGGAGCCTCTAGCAAAACATGAAAACAAAATGACACCACACACACTATCCAGAACGTTGGAGAGTGATAACATTTTTCGTACCCAGCGTACGTCTGGTGGTACTCACAGACACTGACAAGTAGGTTCGTAACTAGTTTGGAGGTACCCTTGAATAGTACATCTAGGTTCCCACCGATACAAATCAGCAGCCCTAAAATCTGCGCTATCCATGCAGTATGTGGCATCCATCATTGAATCCACCAGAGCTCTCCTCAGATGGCTACTGGGGAGAACGCGCAAAATGATATAGTCTACTAACCCTTTTTAGTTTCGGATTTTGAAACGTAAAACTGTCATTGAAAACGCTTGGCTTGGATTGCTGCCTCAGAGCAAAGTGAAACAGAAACCAATGAAACTGTGGCGCAAAATGTATAAATGTATTAAGGGAGATGACAGTAGTAATAACATTAGGATTTGTAATAACAATAGTAGTGATAATGATGACCATAGTGGTGAACAAATTGATAGTATCAGACCAGTCTTTTGATCTATTCCCCTCATGTAATACAATTTGCCCTTTTATTGAGTTGTGTTTTCAAAATCATATATTCATATTTATATTTTTATTTATAAAAATAACTGTCTCTTATTTCCTTTTTTATTTATGTAATATACAAATGTAGAGTCAACATTCAGGAAGGAGGCCGCGGCCATACAATGGCCGCCTGGGAAAATACAGAAATAGGGAAGACGTGCGGCGGTGGAGCGGTTCGAACCCGGCACTCCGAGGTCACGAGCTGGTTACCTAACCACTTGGCCACCACCAGAAAGATAGGAGCTAACTTACACTGTATCACAAACCTTACAATTCACTTACCTTTTTCGGCATTCACCACTCCTGCTGTTGTGAGATACTACTCAATTGTGAGTAGTCGGTAACTTTCGGCGATTGAAAATAAAACAAGACCATCAAGGACCAAGTAATATATTTGGGAAGAATAAACACTGCCTGCTCTACCCATTACTCTATGTGTCGCGATGTGTTGCGATGGCATGTTTCCGATGTTTCTGATTTTCGTGTTATGCATGCAAAATTAGTGACCCTCAATCTGTATTCTGCAATAAGCAACTCTCCTCGACCAGCACCGCCTTTTCGGAATATAACAATTGGTGCCGTCGCCAGAATCAGGATGAAGGTTCCGTGGCCAGCAGCATTCGTGGATGGGGATGTGCGGATATTCCTGGAGGAGTTCGAGGATGTGGCGGAGCTGGCCGGAATACGGACGGATCGCCGCAATTTGACGGCCCTCCGAGGGCTCCTCAAGGGTCGTGAGCGGGTAGTGTTGGACGCGGCACGAGGAGGCCCGGAGAAAATGGAGTGGGCCGCCACGAAGGACGCCCTGATCGCGGGCTTTGACACCCCGGCCGACCGCCAGGAGGCACTCCGTCGCTTCAAGATGCCACAACTCGGAGTCGGTGTGGACCCACTTTCGCAAGCCGTGGTCCTGCGTGGGCTATTGGATCGCGCACTACCGACATTGAATGAGAATGCTCGCTCGGAACTACTCCTTGACCGTTTCACAGAGCCTCCCGAAAGTTATCGACTACTCACAAGTGAGTAGTATCTCACAACACTACTACTTGCAGTCATCTCACACCTTGCAGTTTGATAATTTGATGGAACAGTTTGCCATCGGGGCAACTATTTGAGGTGTGTGATATCCATCATTTGAAAGGGTAGCAGTTTTACAGTTTTACAGCACTCCTGACAGTGGTTTTGTTGAACAAGGCACTAGGTCACTGGAGTTATGATTTTATATGCAATTTAAAACTAAGTTATCCTTGTGTAACTTTTTAAATATTCCCTTTTGAACTACAAATAAACACTTGTTGGACAGCAAACTGTGTGGAAGAGTGAATAACGTTATGCTCCGTAAACAATACCACGGTGGAGAGAGTACGAACCCGGTTTGGAGGAATTTTTTAGTTCATGCGCGAAAACAGGTAATGATCAATCGTGATCCACTGTGCATTGAAACAAAGAGAGCAGCTTGTTCACCAAAACATGCCGGTTAGATAGTTTCGCGCACCGCTTGTGTTTGTGGCTCTAACCCCAGTTGAACATTTGCAACGCAGCGCGGTTCGAACAATGAAGTAATAGAAGTAATAGAAATGCGCTAGCCATGCGCACGTACATATATATAGTTCAGTGCAGTCTTTGTCGTGCGCAGTCGAGAGAATTTGCAATTCGGTAGTTGCAAGCTCTCATGTGAACTGCCGCAGTTCGTGTTCGAGTGCAGAAAAGGACTAGAGCATGGGGAAAAAGGATTTCCCCACTTTGCTCCAGAAGTAGTTTTTTACATTCCCGTTGGAGCTATAAAATACAAACATTTTATGTTTTTCAAATATGGTGGAGCAACGGCTTCCAACATCGATCGTTCTAGATGCACAGAAAAACTTTGATACCAAACACCTGTATCGATCTGCCTAAAATGACCTGATGATTAAGTTGGCAGATTTATCCAGTCATGTTGTTTGTTGCAATCTTTTTCAAGGAGTACTAACTCTCAATGAAAAATGTTGTCTGAAGCTAGGTTAGACCTAACCATACCCAGTCGCCGGCTCTCTCTCGTTCCCGATCGATCAATATGAGAATCATGTGCGTGTGTGCGAACACAACCTCGGCCTCGAGTCATCGAACCGTTTCTTGCTGCGCGGCGAGAGACGTACGGCCATAGTGCGTGAGCGAAATGTGAGCATGAGAGTCTTCTGGAAATGTCCTGGCTATTGTTCACTCAGGATTCAAAGGCGTCAATGATCGGTCGAAACCTGCCAGACCGTGCAAAACACATTGGAATGAATGACGTATATGAAATTGACGTCAGAAGATAGTGCGACCTACCACTGGAAGCCAAATCATAGTTGCAAATGGAAAGAGAAAAACCAGATCCTCCTCTGTCAGCGATGTGCCAACTTGCGTCTGTCTACGCTCACGGTTACCATTTCGAGAAGTCTGCGACAGTATCGCTTCAAAGTGATCCACCCAGTGATTTGTATAGAGACCTGTTCTTCAATATGCTGGCCTATTTATCCAATCAAATGGTGCTGTTTCCTCATACCAAAGAACTAATTACAGAGTGAAATTCCAACAGTAACTAATGATCTGTTGTCATACGGTGTGACCTGTGTTGTAGTTCAGAACGACAGATTTATAAGAACACAACGGGTTACATTTCAGTCAAAAAAGACTTTGTATGATAATACCGTCAGAGGAACCACATTTCACGAAATAACTTCCGAGTCAAACAGATCACAATAAATAACACTTTGAGCAAAGGTACGGCTGATCATATTTGGTACCAGTTATCAGTTGATGAGCACGCAATCCATATAAGAATTTCGGCTAAGGTTTGTTTAAGTGGTGTTCGGGAGGGGAGGAGGACTTGTAAACAGAAAAGTTGATCATAAGGAAACAGTCCGTCAACTAGAGCAAAGTGAATACAGAAAGTAGATAAGTTAGGGTCAGAACTATGAAGATATCTGTCACAGCAACCGTTTCCCTGAGTCGCATACGATTTTCGGGCTAATGTTTTCGCCTCCATAGCTTATGGTTTCGGCAATAGGCCAAACGTTCGAGATTTAAGAAGCTGAAAAACCTTAGGCAAACCTTAATCGTAGCGTGGTCAGAGGAACCAATATGAGAACGCCAGGAAACTAAGTTGATCTAGATAGATCAATGGTAATATTCATAGTTATATGTTGGGTTACAAAATTTTCATAACTTATGTAGTTGAAAACCAGGGCTCCAATAAGCGGTTCAAATCACTACACACACCATACAAATAGAAACATCTGCATGATTAATTAAAGTGATATAGAATGAATTTGAAAACTTGGCAAATTCATCTGAAGGGTAGGTGGGGGGTAAATATGTGGTTGAGAGCACAACTGACCACTAATGGCTTAGGGATTTGAGCTTGCATTCAGCACTGGATGAGTAACGTGGAGGATAGACTGATGGAACAGAAGAAGGGAACTACCGCACCGAGCCCAATTAATATATGTGATAATACCTCCTTCACTGCGTTTGGAGGGGACGAAACGATCAACGAGTACTTCTTTTATACAGTAGCCTGTCGAATTTAACACTACAATGGTCTCTTGTGCTTGAGAAAACAAGCGTTCAAACACAATGCCAATGTTTGGTGCTTATATGCAATGATGATAATGCTGATGGTTATAAGTCGTATGCTTCCATTCTCTCACAGAAAGGGACACGCACATTTTCCAAAGGACTTTCTAGTCCCACCTCTGTCTCAAGCTGTCACCGTCAAAGACCGCTTTTCCAGTGATCATGGTGACTTTGGTATTTTTCGGTTTTCTTACATTTTCTCTCAGGTGGTCTAACAATGATGAAGTGAGAACCCATTTGCTTGTACAAAATATCTTAGTGCACGGAGTGTAAACAGCTAGCGCGATCCTTAATGTCGAGTATGTACAAATCAAACTCCTACAGTTTTATGGTGTGTGAATTCAGATTACTGAATTACTATTCTAAACGTGTATGTTGATAAGTATGTGAACCGTCAGATGCGTACCAGTCAGATGACTGAGGGTAGACTCAAAAATAACGATTAATAAATCAGGTAATGATTTCTGACATCTTGCTCAGTTTACAACAACCCAGAACAGTTTCCTCACTTCTTACTCGATGTCAGCAGGGCACCGACGTCTTAATTAACTGAATAAATCTATGCTGTACAGTGACAAAACGTGACTACGATCACAGAGGAACCTGAACTGTCTGAAGACCGTACGCCATACCCGTTTACACATACGTTTTGCGCTGGATAACCACGTGACTCTCTCAGTCCTATGCTCATGGAACGCGTGCAGTAGGTGTCATGTGACACGGGCCCAACGCTTACAACAAACAGGTCAGTTTGAATGAAGCAAAACTATTGTGTGGATCAATGAATTTGTGAGATTGTGTGCGTGTGTGTGGTATTGACCAAACAATCAACCTCAGACTGATTTGTCACTGCTACAATTGAACCGACCATCTCGGACGAATCACGTGACGCTGGATAATATACTGCATATGAATTGTGCGATTTCAAGCTACTCAGACCATTCACTGTGCAGTAAATGGGGTCATGTAGTAATTGTATCATTTAGTATTCAAGTATCTATCTTAGTTACTCCAACACCCCGACTATGACACGCTCGAACAAAATCGAGTGCCAGTGTAATTCATTTGATTGTAGAATGAAGCAAATCGTATAAAAGGCAAACAAAGCTTGGAATGAAAAACTTAAATATGTGATAGATTGTCAGGCCACGTTAAGAATACTTATGTATACCATGCTTATGAGTTGCACAATTTCCGGTTTTGTCCTCTGTGTATGAGATAAATATTATTTTTCTGTAGAAACCACCAGCAACAGGTATTACACGAACCGACTAATAGAGTTTCCACTTCTCCTGTTAGCCAACCCGTTGCGCATTGTTTTTACCTATTTACCTGATTACTATCATTTATCTTGGTAATAAAATATGTGAAACTGGTGAAAATGTTTTCAGTGATTTCATTTTTTAGTCAATACAGTCATATTTGTTCAGTCAGTAATTTGTGAAACGAGTTGTCTAAATCAGTTGATGGATTTGGAAGACAACTTATCAACCAATCGAGGAAAAACCGATGTTTAAAGATCAAAAATAAAACGCAGAATTTCCCCAAGCCTATCTGATTTTTTGAGAATGACGATTACCACAAAGCTGAAGGACTCCATTTTCGTCACACTGATGCCACGGTTATTAGTATATACTTGTTTACCCTTCAGATGAGACTGATTGCAAGATAGTATCATAAACCTGCACACGAAGCCATTATTGTACTAAGTAGTTAGTACATTTTGGCATACTGAATAACTGAAAAAGGAGACGAAATTCAAATATGCGAACACAAGGCGCGAAGGTAAATAGAAACGGATTTCAAATTCAAATTTAGTTTGTGTCATCATAACTATCCAATGGGCGGTGGTGGCAAAGTGTTTAGGTTACCAACTTGTGACCTGCGTGTCCCGGGTTCGAACCACTCCATAGCCGACCGCCTTTCCCTGGTGGTGGTGGCACAGTGGTTCATCAAACGGAAGTGTGTAATGAAAATAAAGAAAGAAATAAAAATAAAAATCCGCCAATCACATGAAATTGTTGCGGAGCTCCAATGTCTATTACAACGGTTTGAAACCATTTGGATACTGCGTACTACATTGGATACCATAAAAGGATGCGCAACGACGCGTGGTTGTGCTGTCAACTTGGACTTGGTCAACTTTCTTAAGTCAAGGTCACATCTTGTCTGCGGTCGTATATATCACGTGTTACAACCTACCACCGTGGTTCATGTTTTTGACAAAAAGATAACAAATAGCCTTTTTTCTTTTTCACTGTGATCAACAATACGCTGAAAACTTTCTGACAAGGCTTCCCACCACCTTGTTTCCAAAAATTGATAGACGATTGTGTATCCATTGGAAATATTTTTAATATTATTTTTCTCGGGTCAGTTTAGACATCCGAAACTCATTTGCCTCAAATTCCGAATCTTCGTCTGCTTTTTCGAGAATTTATCATTCGAAAATGCGATTTGCCTGATACTCATATGTTCAAGAAGTTGGTTAATTGGCTAATGATTCTGCGAACTAACTTAGCATTGAAATGATGAAACGTTCATGGCTATGCATACGTCGCTTTAAGCTGAGAAAATCATATTGTGGGAGTTGTCTGGAAGGTTCTCATCAGAAATAGAAATAAAGGTTTACAGAACAAGATCGACGTATAGGAAACTTCTAACGTAACTCAACTGAGGTAAGCTCTCGCACAACACTGGAAAACCCGGAATATCCATGAGTTCTAGAATGGCCAACGGTCTGGAACCCGTCGCATTCCAAATGGATTTCGATGGTGCGCAAACTGAAAACACTGATAAAAAATGCCGAGTTATCGTGCACAAAAATGATTACTTGAAATACATTGATTCGAAACCTAACAAAATTCTGAAAATGTTTAAACTACGAGCACATCTAAAGCAAAATTGTCTCGCCTATCTTCAGTTCTTTTCCAGCTTCTAGCTACTTGACCACTTTGTGTGGATTAGCCAGCTAATAAAGGCTTCCGGTTAGTTCATTTTCTCTTTGATCATAAAACAAACTGTAACTGATTTTCTGCAAATCAAATAAGATACGTTCAATTTTTTGGCCCGCCTAAGGTGCTACTTTAATGTGAAATAAATTTTGTTCAAGTGTTTGACACAGATGTGTTAGATCAATCACACTAAAGTGGGTGAGGAGCTTCGAACTCTTAGCACAGAGCACACACGTCCGTTGAATTTTCCGAGCAATGTTTGCTGTTAAGGCAAGCTACAGCTAAGACATTACTGGTTGTGATTGCTATGGTACTGAAGAAAGCGAGTGATTCAGGTCAATACAGGTCATCACAACAATCACGATCGGGATCGAACAAGCCCCCCGCCCTTACCGTGTTTAGCTCGAGCTATGCGCTTCTATGTCGTGAATCAGGTGATGAGGTTAATCAGTCATCATCAATACCAGCAGAACCGGTGCTGATCAACGCCTGGCTGCCTCGAGTGAATCGAATAGTTTCCGCGACTAAAGCCAACAACAAAAAGATGGTTAAACTAAAAGGTGGTCAAAACGACCGGTGGGTTTTCATTGGGAGGCGGAGGATACCAATGTTAGTGTCCATAGGTGGAACATTACTTAATCGATACAAACCGCATTTGAAGGAAATACAAATTACATTGACCTATCAAGAGTCATGAGAAATGGTGGAATGGGAGTTCACCTGAAAACAAGTTGCAAAACATTGTAAAAGTAAAATTTTCGAAATTATCACTTGTAGTTCCAAGTGTGGTAAATGAGTATATTGGGGGACGGCAGAACGACTTTATTCCATATTTTGAATGTGCTGACTCAAATAGATACAAAGGGACTAAATTTTTCTGTCCACATCTTGTTGATCGTGAGAAAACAAACAAACTTATTTTATTGTCCGTGAGATTAGTAAGACCGGCATCCTTCTTCCTATAGAGAGACCTCCCACCCACGAGGAATGCATGGTGAGATCACGATCAAGCAAATATAGGACCAGGCGAAAACATGGACTCTAATATGGTTGGAAAAGTCTCAACGTTGATTTCAGTTGATTAAATTATTCACAAAGCTTATTAATAGTCACAGCCATTCTTGTATTTGCCAATAACATTCTCTGGACGATTTTTTTCAACCACCGCACCCTGATTTACCCTCTTGTCATTCCCATCTGTCCACACGCTGTTCCTTTCGGCATTTACCCTCTAGCATTAAAAATTATACGAATTCCTCTGTGTCCTATCTGGCCCGATTCCTAAGCAACAAGGAACAGATTTTTAATGAATTACGTCAGAATTGATTGGAATAAGTCTAACTGTTGCCACCCCTTCACTTGGCATGTTTTCCGAATATACATCTTTTATTCGGTGTGATTACCATTGTTCATTTTAACTGAAATGTAGACATATAAGCTCAAATGAATTACAAGAATACAAACACAAATACAAAACCAATGAGCCGTAAAAAAGATAAACTCTAATTGGATTCAGAACACTGGTCTGTGCAGAAGGGTTCGATTTGTTTATATGTGATTAAAATACCATATTTCCCCAACTCCATTGTTAGAGTTAGATTATTTATTCACAGTTTACTCTAAACTGAGGCAAGACCGCACAATCTCCACTATCTTCTCGTTTACTTGGAACTCTGGGTGCGGTCTTTTGGAATGCGATCGATGGTCTTTTCACGGAACACAAAAAATGCACGAAAGAGAGAGAGGGGGGTGGTTCTGCCATAAAAGCATGACCATTTTTGCGTTCTGGTGCAAACAATGCAGTCACTCACATATCTTAACACGTGTTTTTTGCATTCCACGCTATGTAACCACAATCAGGTTAAGAAAGCAAATGACACCATACAGATGTGATAGGTCAAAACTGTTGGCAATGTAACAAGTTAAAGTACGAAACCACCGTGACAGAAATTCATCTGATCATCCATTGCAGTTGCGTATTTGAGGCTTTCAGTTAGATAAACTTGTGCCGTTTTTGCGGGTATTCAGTATTTTATTTTTACACGGTCCCCGACATGTTCTGTGGAGCCTCACGACAACCAATGGGAATCATGACCAACGGGGATTGAGGAAGTTAGTATCCAAATGAACATGCCGAATCGGATGTGCATTCCAATAGGCTGAGCCAGTTACTAACACTGTGCTTCTAGTTTGATTTGATCTTGAATAGACTAATTGTCGCATTTATGGTAGTTTATTTAAATTTCGAAAATGAGACGTCTGTTTCCGTGCTAAATCGATCAAAATCTGTTTCCGACTGGGGCACATGACTGATCATTCTCGATTCACAGAGATTGACAACTGGGCTGTGGACCTTTATAGTTTAACGGGCTCATAATTTCAGTGTGAACGCGATGAGCTTCCCGGTTATGATTGCAGAGGCTGATCAGTTGAGTCAGCCAGAATTGAACCAGTAATCACAGACCCCTAGGCTGGAGTAGGTCGTTGTGTGCAGCAAATCGGAGGCGAAACCAACGAGTCTGCAAAAGCTAATCACAGGACGTTCCCGTAGAAAATTAGTGTAAACACTGACGATGGAAAGAGGGTACTCGATGGATCAATCTATCCCAAATGAATTGGTAGACAACCCTTTGGATATCAAGGAGAGGGAGAAGCACCGGTTCGATTATGCATTCAAAAAGCAAATAGAACTCAGATCATCTGTTTAGAACGAATCGGGCGCTAAAAGGCTACAACCGCTTATCTAGAGTAAGGGAACATGACACCAATCACCTTATGATAGCATTTGCTGATTGCAGAAATAGTACTCAAAATCAACAATTTTACTGAGGAAATATCGAATCAAATTAGAAAACATTACTTTAAACATCAAATTACTACTAAATACTTCGTTTCAGCAGATAAACCTTTTACTCGACTGTGCAAGGTATAGCAAACGGTCCCCATAATCATATTAATGTACAATCGCTAAATTTCACCCAATTGTACAACAACTTTACAGCAAAATAAGTCTCTTGGAGTATATATTTGCCTCCGATAATGTGCGATCACCTTTTTCACGCTCCTCCCTAGAAATCATCAGAAATCTCTTGTCTCAAAGGTCTTTAAGAAGTAGCGACTACTGCTTCAGGAAACTGCTTGTCGGATCCTGAAATGACACTGTACGTTATGACATCCAAACCGCAGAAGATCACCTTACCTTTTCGTTTGACCATCATGGAACACAAAGTGTGCACAGACCACGGGAAGCGTAGCAGGGGGGTAAAACTCAGATCGTTTGAGAAGAACGAACAGCGCTCAAAATGCTCATATTTCATAACTCTATATTATGAAAATCAATCATGAAAGGCTGCGTTGGCGTGTAGATACAAGCGAGGCTAAAGCGACCATGCACTGGCATTTAAACCATTTTCGAAGCTGTTCATGTCTATTTGTTTGTGTTTTCAGTTACATTTTGATACCCGCTAATGTTTTGAAAGAAACAAACTTTTTGAAATTCGTTCAAATAAGTCACGATTAATCCCTTTTTAATATTCTATAAAGGTTGCTTTTAAATTCTAATTCAGCATGATATCTTTCTAATCATCGTGTCCATTTCGGTTTTCATTAGATTTCTGTCGTCAATACTTTCCTCTAATATTTAGTGCTTGACATCATCATGAAGACACAAATGGAATCTCTTTGTGCGCGGCTATGCATGCTGAATAATTTTTACCGATATTTTTCGAACACATCTTTGTGGTGAAAGTGTAAAAACATGTGATGATACTTTCCAGTCTGGTGATCCGACAAGATGTAACCTTTCCACTCCGTTTCACAACCGCAGCATATCACCCTGTCACGCTTCGTACAGATGAGTATTTTCCGGATGGACCTCTTTTATTTCGCACATTCCTGATGCAATCATTTGATTTTACCCTTGCCATTCACGGACATGCATCAGCAACGGATACATATGGAACAACCAGTTTCCGGGATTCTTCAGCTGGAACTAAGACTTGTATTTTTCACCTAAATCGTTCCGAAACGTTGAGTTTTACATTGTCACATACTGTTAGATGCAATAATAAGTTCTGTAGAATGTTCGCTTCCAGGATGTTCACCTACATGTTATTGCACTGCGGCAACACAGCTTCCAATGAAACGGTATACGCATAAAATTGGGTTTTACCCTAGTGGGTGTTGGGCCTACACTGCATCTGATGACATCTAACTGGTACAGATGTCAATCCCTTTCAGCTCTAAATCAATTTCTCATTTG